TTTGAAACTTTTATTATTAATATTTTCAAATAGTTTTTATCATTTCTTCAATTACTACTAAAGTTAAATCAACATTTAATTTTTTAATAAAAGTTTCATTAATACGCGTAGAATGTGATATAAATTTGTGATTTCGATTTTAAACTAAGTTTTGATATGTAAAAAAAACTTGTTTAAACTCAATTAAAGTATAAAATAAATAAATAATGCAATAATTAAAGGGGATGGAAAATAATAACTCGTTTCGCGCACTCGCGTGTTGCAGGAATTTCCATTGCAGATGGTATCTTCTTTGGCACGAGTTTTTTTTTGTTGTCGTTGTTGTTATATTTCTCGAGATATCGACCCGGTATAGTTTTTTTTTGTTCATCGATTGTTTACCAAATAATAAATTACAATTACGAAAAAGATGGGATGTTAATGATAATTATAAGTTTTACATAATTGTAGGATAATTTGAAGATATATTTGTGTACTATTATACTATTTAAATAGATAAAAAATCAAAGAGTGAAGAAAATGATAACTAGAAAATTGATATGTAGCAAACTTTGTTATAGTAAAAATTGAACTTACTGCAAACAAAGTCTTCTTGTAGGGAAGATTCCTGCAGATCGTAACAGAGGGATACTTCAATGAATCGTTCAGATTGAACGTGTAGTGCGTGGATATTGGTGGATACAGTATCTTCCTAATGCATTCCGAGAGCTAAGAAAACTAAAGTTATCATTACAGCGTTTCTCACATTGACATCAAACAAGACCTGATACGAAGCGATGCAAACGCATGTAATGATCGCAATTAATCTCAGAAAGTACTTGGGATTCGTGAAGCACTTCTGCAAGTTGACAAAAGCCATCCTGAAAGTACTGAAGAGACGAACGTCGGAGATGGGACTTTTTATCAAAGCCCCAATATAAATTCGTTTATATTTTTTATGGACCTATAAAAGCGTTATTAACTTGCAACAATATTTATAGCTAATAAGCGAACGTCTGATAATGCGAAAGCAATTACATTATATTTCAATGCATAAATTTAGCTTTTATTAGTCGAACAAAAAAATACATCGTTGAATAAAGTACGATAAATAGACGCAACAATCTCATCTGAGTTCATTATACAATCGAACGTGCAAAGCAAAATGCTGGTCATTCTCTTGCTGCTAGTTGCACTCTTTTTGGTTGGTTACGCTCTGGTGAGGCAGCAGCTTTACTGGAGATATAAGAATGTTGTTCAAGGATTTCCGAAACCGATTTTGGGTGATATCCTTGGCACATTCTTCCAGTTTCAATCCTTAACAGACATGGTGAAGAATCTCTATTTTGCTTTTTCCAATCATAGGTAAGACAACACATTTCATTAATCACTTTATAAATTAAAGTCTTCACTAAAACTTCCTTTTGTTAATGATGTTTGTTCTGTGTATAATTCAAATTGCAAAATAAAAACGTAATTTGAAATGAGCTGGTTTAAAGATTTACCTTTTCATTTAATTGTTTTCTTACATGTTTATTTATTGAAAACATTTGAAAAAATGTCATAAAATTAATATCTAAATGATTTACGCTTTAAATCTCTTTAATGTATTCATCTATATTCAATTATGTATACAAAAATAAAGATGACTTTTATGTGGTAATATAATATATATATATAAACAAAATATCATGTATTCACCTCTTTCTACCAATAATTCATTATTTTCCTAATAACAAATAAATAGAAACAAATAGAAGAAACCTGTTTTTATTTAAGCAACACATTTTTCAAAACATGTATCTGCTGCTATCCTTAACACTGTCATTGTTCATCGACTTGGCTGAAGGTCCATATGCTCAACCTCATTCATTTCACTGTCCATCTGTGGCGAACGATGGCCCTATTGCTGCAAGCACCGAGAGGGCTCGGCTCACAAAAGGCCTGGTTTGATCAGGATTCGATCCGTCGCCGGTTCGATTGTGGTAGGAAGACTTAACCATTCGGCTATTAGTCGCCCTGATGAATTAAATAAAATAGAAATAAACCGCACTAAGAGAAACATTATTATATAAAAGTGAAAACCACTTATGTCTATGCACTATTCATTAGGAATTCATTTTTAGTTTCCTCAATTAAAATTTTCCTTTGTTTTGAATTTTTCAAAGTGGACTATAACGAATCCGCTGATATTTCTGTATTTATAAAGTATTAGTTTACAAATTATAGCAACTTTAATACTTATTATCTAAAGAATAATATGTTTAAGATACGCTGGAATATACCTGATAACTCAACCGATGCTCATGATTCGAGATCCCGAACTCATCAAACAATTAGCAGTAAAGGACTTCGAACATTTCACGGATCACATGAGCTACGTTCCTGGCGACAATGATGCTCTTTGGAGCAATAATCTCTTTGCATTGAAAGGAACCAAATGGTACCACATGAGAAACATTCTAAGTCCAGCATTCACCAGCATGAAGATGCGATACATGTTTGAACTGATAGACGAAGTCTCCTCTCAGTTTGTCACCTTTCATAAAGACAAAATTTTAAATCAACAAACGATCGAATTGAAAGACGCTTATACAAGGTACACTAATGACGTAATCGCAACGTGCGCTTTCGGTGTGAAGTGCGACTCCTTGGAACACCCGACCAATGAATTTTATAAAATGGGCAAGATCGTGACAGAGGTGAATAGTTTCTCAAGAATTTTCAAGATAATCCTCAATTTTTTTCTACCGTCGTTGGTTAAGGTAATGTGCTTTGTCTTTTATGAATACTAGTTAAACTGAAGTTTGTTAGGCTCTGAAATTCACAATAATACCACAAAAGGTCAACGCGTTCTTCCTGCAGTTGGTTGGTGATACTTTAAGAATGCGTGAGCAGAAAGGCATCATTCGCCAGGATATGCTAAACTTGCTGATGCAAGCGCGGCGAAAAGATAGTATGTCAATCTCCGATTTGGAGATTACCTCGCAGTGCTTGGTATTTTTTTTAGCCGGCTTTGAAAGCACCTCCTCAATGATGTGCTTCACATCTTACGAATTAGCCTTAAACCCAGACATTCAACAACGAGTCAGAAAAGAGATCGAATCAGTTCATCGTAAATTTGGTAAATTAACGTACGAAGCGATGAAGCAACTCAAGTATTTGGATATGATTTTGAATGGTAATAACAATGATCTATATCCAATGGCATCTCTTAATTCTTGATATTAAACAGAAACTATCCGAAAGTGGCCTCTCGCTTTCCTGGTGGACAGATTGTGCGTTAAGAAGTATACAATTGAGCCTACATATCCTGACGAAGAACCAGTACATTTGGAGCCAGGCGATGTGATATGTTTTCCCGTAGCTGGACTACATCACGATCAAAAGTATTTTCCCAATCCAAGTAAATTCGATCCGGAAAGGTTTTCGGATTGCAACAAGGACAGTATTCATCCATACACTTATTTGGCTTTTGGAGTTGGACCTCGCTCTTGCATAGGTCATCGTTTTGCATTGATAACGGCCAAAATGATGTTTTTCAAACTACTCAGTACGTTCGAGATTGTAATCACAGAAAAAACTCCTGTTCCATTAAAAATCAGCAAAATCGATTTAATGTTGACTCCAGCCGATGGCTTCTGGCTAGGTCTGAAACAAAGAATATAAACAAAATTACAATCGTGATTTAATCTCATGAAGATACTGAAGATATTATTGTTAGAACTAGCATATTTTTAAAAGCATATATATTTTGAAACTTAATATAATTTTAAAAAATACTTATTGATTTTAAAATTTATTATCATAATCATTTATTAGAATTTAAGCATTGGTATTGATAAAGCAGATTAAAATATGTTAAATACACGGACCAATTTCATCTGAGTTCATTATAAAATAGATCGAGCAAAATGCTGGTCGCCGTATTGCTCGTAGTTGCACTCTTTCTGATTGGTTGGGTTCTGGTGAGGCAGCAGCTTTACTGGAGATACAAGAATGTTGTTCAAGGATTTCCGAAACCTATTTTGGGTGATATCCTTGGTACATTCTTCCAGCTTCAATCCTTAACGGATATGGTTAAGAATCTATACTTTGCTTTTCCAAATAATAGGTAAGATACCACCTGCAAATAATTTATCATTTATTATCATTTATTTATGTTTGTCTAAATAATTATTTTATAAATTAAAATTTTCATAAAAACTGCTTTTCGTTAATAGTGTTTTGTCAACAAAAATAATAAAATTAAAAAAAATTGAAACGCTGCAAAGGGCTATTGTCATGACATATATAGATATTTCTGCCCAGATTATTTAATTTATTCAATAATATTCTTTCGCGTTCAGTTATGTATGAAAATAACATATAGATTAGAAAGAAGCCACATAGTAAAAAATGCATTTTAATTTGTTTGTCAGTTGTTGTTTACGCGTAGTTTAAAGTAGATATGGCTGTGCACATGATGGAAAAACACGAGTATTGTTCTATGATAAAATTATTAGTTTTGGGAGGTTTTTCGGCAACAGAAATTCTTAATAATCTACTTATTCATTTCCAACTGTCCTTTATGGACTTTATGATGGACTTTAGAATTGAAACATGGACGTACATGCATTGAAGATGCATGTATAATTGAAGCTTTCGATCGTTTCAACAAGAATAAAACTACTTTAAAATTACTTGAAGATCAACCATATTCGCCAGATTTAGATCCATCAGACTACCATCTATTCCTAAACATAAAGACAATTGATTCTTTAGAATTGCGTGCCGTGAAATTTTAAAAATATAGATAAAAAATATTTGAACGTAGTATTTCATAGATCAGAAATTTTAATTTAATATTGCTGTGCCGCAAAACAAATTACTCAGTGTAACAAGTTTAGCAGACTCTGCTGTATACAGTTATTTTGCAAGCCTTGATACGTATAATTATAAAAATGATATATAATTGTTAGAAATCACTGGACTAAATATATTCAGCTACAAGTAGATTATATATAAAAATAAAATGATTTTTGAATCGTAAAGTTCGTTTTTTCCCTTTTACTTTCAATTTTTTTCAAACTGCCCTCGTATTTATATATATTTGACTATTCGATAGTCGCGCAACCTATCGTAACATCGCGTGGCATCTGATAAACTTCGTTAAATATAACGTTAGCAATGAATTTATATAAATATATAGTTGGTTTTTGCAGCAGTTTAATTTAATTTATATTTTCTTCTTATATTATTGAATTATATTATAATATAATTAATTAGATTCAGATAAAATAAAAAATCGAAGCATTTTTATTTTATAAAAATGTAAAAAAAATATCTTCATCTTCACTGCTTTGCGGGCATCATATTGCCGACCCTCATTCAAAATAAAAGTAAAAGAAAAACACGTATGTATATATAGTTTTATAAGTAAATAGTTTTAAGTAGAAATAAACTTTGAAACCTAATATCTAAATTTGATATTTTTAAGATACGCTGGAATATACCAGATAACTCAACCGATGCTAATGATTCGAGATCCAGAACTCATCAAACAATTAGCAGTAAAAGACTTCGAACATTTCACGGATCACATCAGCTACATTCCGAGTGAAAATGATGCTCTTTGGAGCAATAATCTCTTTGCATTGAAAGGTACCAAATGGTCCCACATGAGAAACATTCTAAGTCCGGCATTCACTAGCATGAAGATGCGATACATGTTCGAACTGATAGACGAAGTCTCCACTCAGTTTGTCACCTTTCATAAAAAGAAGATTTCAAATCAGCAAACGATCGAATTTAAAGACGCTTATACAAGGTACACTAATGACGTAATTGCAACGTGCGCATTCGGTGTGAAGTGCAATTCGTTGAATCACCCAACTAATGAATTCTATAAAATGGGAAAAGTTATGGCAGAGGTGAGAAGTTTCTCAAGAATTTTCAAGATAATCCTCAATTTTTTTCTGCCGACGTTAGTTAAGGTAATGTACTTGGTCTTTTATGAATACTAGTTAAACCAATATTTATTAGGCTCTTAAATTGACGATAATACCACAAAAGATTAACGCATACTTCCTGGAGTTAGTTGGTGATATATTAAGGATGCGTAAACAGGAAAGCATCATTCGCCAGGACATGTTAAACCTATTGATGGAAGCGCGACAAAAAGATGGTATATCAATCTCCGATTTGGAGATTACCTCGCAATGTTTGGCTTTTTTTTTAGCCGGCTTCGAGAGCACCTCTTCGATGATGTGCTTCACATGTTACGAATTAGCCTTAAACCCAGACATTCAAGAACGAGTCAGAAATGAAATCGAATCAGTTCATCGTAAATATGGTAAATTAACGTACGAAGCGATGAAGGAACTCAAGTATTTGGATATGGTTTTAAATGGTAAAAAATAATTATCTATTTCCAATAACATCTTATAATTTTTGATCATAACCAGAAACCATCCGCATGTGGCCAATCGCTTTCCTCTTGGACAGATTGTGCGTTAAGGAGTACACAATTGAACCTAAATTTCCAGACGAAGAAGCCGTACATTTGAAACCAGGCGATGTTATATGTTTTCCCGTAGGTGGACTCCATCACGATGCCAAGTATTTTCCCAATCCAAGTAAATTCGACCCGGAAAGGTTTTCAGATTCCAACAAGGGCAGTATTCATCCATACACGTATTTGCCTTTCGGAGTTGGACCTCGCTCCTGCATAGGTTACCGCTTTGCAATGATGATGGCCAAATTGATGTTCTTCAAACTGCTCAGTACGTTCGAGATTGTTGTCACTGAAAAAACTTCTGTCCCATTAAAAATCAGGAAATTTGATTTATTGTTAACGTCAACTAATGGCTTTTGGCTAGGTCTGAAACGAAGAATATAAACAAAATTATAATCGTGATTTAATCTCATGAAGATACTGAAAAAAATTTGTTATATTTTTATTAAAACTTAATATAATTTTTGAAAATAATTTTTGCTTTTAAAATTTATTATCATAATCATTTATTTTAATTTAAACATTGTTATTGATAATGCAGTCAATGCCAAGCAATTACATTGTCTTTCAATGGATAAATTTAGCTTTTATTAAACAAAGAAAAAAATTACATCGTCGATTAAATTACGTTAAATACACAGAACAATTTCATCTGAGTTCATTATAAAATAGATCGAGCAAAATGCTGGTCGTCGTATTGCTCGTAGTTGCACTCTTTCTGATTGGTTGGATTCTGGTGAGGCAACAGCTTTACTGGAGATACAAGAATGTTGTTCAAGGATTTCCGAAACCGATTTTGGGTGATATCCTTGGCACATTCTTCCAGCTTCAATCCTTAACGGATATGGTTAAGAATCTATACTTTGCTTTTCCAAATCATAGGTAAGATACTACCTGCAAATAATTTATCATTTATTATCATTTATTTATGTTTGTCCAAATAATTATTTTATAAAATAAAAATCTTCATTAAAACTGCTTTTCGTTGATAGTGTTTTGTCAACAAAAAGAATAAAATTAAAAAAAAAATGAAATCGCTACAAAGGGCTATTGACATGACATATATAGATTGCCCAGATCATTTCATTTATTCAATAATATTATTTCGCGTTCAATCATGTATGAAAATAAGAGAAATATAAGCAAAATATTATTAATTATTATGAATGCACCGCTTTCTGTCAATAATTCAGTATTTTCTCAATAACATATAGATTAAAAAGAAGCCACATAATAAAAATAGTATTTTAATCTGTTTGTCAGTTGTTGTTTACGTGTTATTTAAAGTAGATGTGTCTGTGAAGGTTCTAAGATGGAAAAACATGAGTATTGTAAAATTATTTATTTTGGTAGGTTTATCGGCAACACAAATTCATAACAATCTACTTATTCATTCCAAACTGTCCAAAATGATTTTTGAACAGTAAACTTCGTTTTTTCCCTTTCCATTTCGCTTTCAACATTTTTCAAACTACCCTCGTATTATATATATTTGACTATTCGTTATTCGCGCGACCTTTCGTAACATCGCGTGGCATCTGACAAACTTCGTTAAATATAACGTTAGTAATGAATTTATATAAATATATAGTTGGTTTTTGCAGCAGATTAATTTAATTTTTGTTCTTATATAATTGTCTTGAGTTTATGTTTTGATGATTTACTATTGCAATAAATATTATTACTATAATTTATTATATAATTAATTATATTGAGAAAAAGTAAAAGATGTTAGCTTCGAAGCATTTTTATTTTATTAAAATGTAAAAAAAAATATCTTCATCATCACTGCTTTGCGGGCATAATGTTGCCGATCCCTATTCAAAACCTATTTATTTAGATAATAATTAGCTGAAAGTTTCGATTCATTAGATCAGGGCTTCCCAAACTATGTTCCGCGGAACACTTATGTTTCACGGATAATAGGTATTCCGTGAAAAACTGACCAAGTAAATAAATATTGTTTGAAATCGGAATAATCGAAGAACCATATAAAATAAAAGTAAAAGAAACATGAGTGTATAAAGGGGGGAATGCATGTATTTATAAATAAATAGTTTTATATGTAAATTGTTTCAAGTAGAAAACTTTGAAACCTAGTATCTAAAGTTGAATATTTTTAAAATACGCTGGAATATACCAGTTAACTCAACCGATGCTAATGATTCGTGATCCAGAACTTATCAAACAATTAGCAGTAAAAGACTTCGAACATTTCACGGATTACATCAGATACATTCCGAGTGAAAATGATGCTCTTTGGAGCAATAATCTCTTCGCATTGAAAGGAACCAAATGGTCCCACATTCTAAGTCCGGCATTCACCAGCATGAAGATGCGATACATGTTCGAACTGATAGACGAAGTCTCCACTCAGTTTGTCACCTTTCATCAAAAGAAGATTTCAAATCAGCAAACGATCGAATTTAAAGACGCTTATACAAGGTACACGTAATTGCAAAGTGCGTATTCGGTGTGAAGTGCAATTCATTTGAACACCCGATCAACGAATTTTATAAAATGGGCAAGATCGTGACAGAGGTGAATAGTTTCTCAAGAATTTTCAAGATAATCCTCAATTTTTTTCTACCGATGTTGGTTAAGGTAATGTGCTTTATCTTTTATGAATACTAGTTTTACCGAAGTTTGTTAGGCAATGCAATTCACAATAATACCACAAAAGGTCAACGCGTTCTTCCTGCAGTTAGTTGGTGATACTTTAAGAATGCGTAAACAGGAAGGCATCATTCGCCAGGACATGTTAAACCTATTGATGGAAGCGCGACAAAAAGATGGTATATCAATCTCCGATTTGGAGATTACCTCGCAATGCTTGGTATTTTTTTAGTCAGTTTTGAAAGTTCAACAACGAGTCAGAAAAGAGATCGAATCAGTTCATCGTAAATTTGGTAAATTAACGTACGAAGCGATGAAGGAACTCAAGTATTTGGATATGGTTTTGAATGATAAAAACTAATCATCTATGTCCAATAATATCTTATAATTCTTAATCATAACCAGAAACCATCCGCATGTGGCCAATCGCTTTCCTCTTGGACAGATTGTGCGTTAAGGAGTACACAATTGAGCCTAAATTGCCAGGCGAAGAAGCCGTACATTTGAAATCAGGCGATGTGATCTGTTTTCCCGTAGCTGGACTCCATCACGATGCCAAGTATTTTCCCAATCCAAGTAAATTCGATCCGGAAAGATTTTCAGATTCCAACAAGGACAGTAATCATCCATACACGTATTTGCCTTTAGGACTTGGACCTCGCTCTTACATAGTTTACCGCTTTGCAATGATGACGACCAAAATTATGTTCTTAGATTGTTGTCACTGAAAAAACTTCTGTCCCATTAAAAATCAGGAAATTTGATTTATTGTTAACGTCAGCTGATGGCTTTTGGCTAGGTCTTAAGCGAAGAAGTATGTAAACAAAAATAATCATGTCTTTCATATATAAATATCAAAGCATAATTACAGTTATCTATATTGTTAGATAAGTGTATTGAAATTAAACTTAGGTTACATAGCAATTTACATCATTCTACAGAATACTTAATTCGAATTGACTTGGAACAAAATTGAATGTACTGATGATAATATTTGATAAATTTGTTATAATTGCTTAAAATATTGTATTAAATAATAAAAAAAAACTTTTTCTGCGTGGGAAATAAAATAAAAAAAAGCATTTCATTTTTTTTACGATGGAAAGTATTTCCATTTTAGTCATAGTATTTTTCATCCAAACACGAAGTTTTGTTGAAGGAAGTAATTTCGTGGCACACATCCTATTCGTGACATGACTGCATTATCATGATTGATGATCATTTTTTTATCTGTTTTTTTTATAAATATTGTAATAAATATTAATATTTTATTATACTTTTATTAAAATATAAACTTATTATTGGTACGAAGTATTGAAAATATGTTAATGTATTTTGTGAAAATACTTTTACTTTAAAATTTATTATCATAATCATTTTGTCCCACTTTATTTTTCTTTGTTTGATATAAATATCGGCTTAATCTCGATGTATCAAAAAACCAATTGATCCTTTTGGCTTTAATTAGTTTTATATCCATATAAAATATTTTTTTTAACAATGAAATTTGTTTATTTTCATATTTTTTTAATCAGAAAAATTCACCAAATCAATTAAAATTAAGATCAATTTCTTAAATATATTTTAGTGAGTAAATAAATATAATATTGGTTCATACATGTATTTTTTTTAAATAAAGTACAGATTGTATCATGTGGACCAAAAAGTCTATTGATTTAAGTGTTTACAAAAAATATATAAAAGATAAACCAAATCAAAATCATATCAAGTGCATTCCACAAAAATATAATCAATTCTCTTCTAAAAATAAAAAATGTGAACGAGCTGAATCCAGAATTTCTTATGTAATTTTTTTTCATTACGTCATAATATATTTAATTTACAATTAATTTATATTTTTTGGTAAAATTCCCAATGGAAGTTTTTACCATTATATTTATTTGTAATTTGTTGGTTGGCTGCCGTCTTTTAGGTTAACTTCAGTATATTGATGCTCTGCGATTCCACTATTCCCTTTGGCTGTGTATCTGCTGCTGTCCTTAGCACTGTCATTGTCCATCGATTTGGCTGAAAGTTCATATGCTGAACCTCTTTCATTTGACTGTCCATTCATGATGAACGATGGCCCTATTGCTGTAAGCACTGAGAGGGCTCACAAAGGACCAGTCTTGACTAGGATACGAACCGGCGCCCACGGAATCATGGGTAGGGCGACTTAACCATTATGCTGTTAGTCGCCTACATACGCAAAAATATTGGAAAACTTAAAAACTTGGAGTCCATGAAATACTTCTACAAGTTAACCAAAACCATCCTAAAAGTTACTGAAGAGGCGGACGTCCCTACTTAAATTTATATTTTTTTATAGACCTATAAAAGCGTTATTAACATGCAGCCATATTTATTGTTAATAAGATGATGTATAAATTTAGTTTTTATTAATCGAACAAAAAAAAAGTATATCGTCGAATAAAGTTCGTTAAATAGACGGAATAATCTTATCTGAGTTCATTAAAAAATAGAACGTGCGAAATGGTGGTCGTTTTATTGCTCGTAGTTGCACTCTTTCTGATTGCTTGGGTTCTGGTGAGGCAGCAGCTTTACTGGAGATACCAAAATGTTGTTCAAGGATTCCCTAAACCGATTTTGGGTGATAACATTGGTACATTCTTCCAGCTTCAATCCTTAACAGATATGATCAAGAATCTATACTCTGCTTTTCCAAATCATAGGTAAGACACTACCTGGAAATAATTTATCACCAATATAACAAAATTATAAATAAAAGCCATAAATAGAATTTGAGATAATCTGCATAAAATAATTACGTTTTAATCTAATATAAACACATTGAAAAATATATAATATTTAATATTATTTCGAAGAAATTTGTACAGTTTATAGAACTTGTTTCATTTCATAAAAAAATATTCATATAAATTTAATTATGAATGCAAATGATGATAATTTTTATATCTATTTGAAAAAAGAAACTTTATTATTAATTATTTATAGCTTTCTGTCAAGAAGCCAGTATTTTCGCAATAACAAATTTATTTAACAAAGCTTGTTTTTAATTAAGCAATTAAATAAAAAAATGATTCTTGATGTGTTTATAAGTATAGGAGAGTAAATCAATATAACTCATATTCAATATATTTAAATATTTACTGCTAATAATTTACACTGTAGTCTAGTTGGAAAATTTTAAAATAAATTCACAAAGTAAGTATTGTACATGAATTTATTTTCTAAGAAAAATAAAACCATGAAACCTAGTGTTTAGTTGAATATTTTTAAGGTACGCTGGAATTTACCAGATGACTCAACCGATGCTTATGATTCGAGATCCCGAACTCATCAAGCAATTAGCAGTAAAAGACTTCGAACATTTCACGGATCACATCAGCTACGTTCCGAGCGATAATGACGTTCTTTGGAGCAATAATCTCTTCGCATTGAAAGGAACAAAATGGTCCCAGATGAGAAACATTCTAACTCCGGCATTCACCAGCATGAAGATGCGATACATGTTTGAACTGATGGACGAAGTCTCCACTCAGTTTGTCACCTTTTATGAAAAGAAGATTTCAAATCAGCAAACTATCGAATTGAAAGACGCGTATACTAGGTACACCAATGATGTAATTGCGACGTGCGCTTTTGGAGTGAAGTGCGACTCGTTGGAACACCCGAAAAACGAATTTTATACGATGGGCAAGGTTGTAACAGAGATGAAAAGCTTTAGGAGAATATCCAAGTTATTCCTTCATTTTCTTCTGCCAACGTTAGCTAAGGTAATGTGAATGGTTTTCTGTAATTATGAATTAAACCGAAATTTGTTAGGCGCTGAAATTCATTATAATCCCAGGCAAGGTCAGCGCTTTCTTCCTGCAGTTAGTTGGAGATACTTTAAGGGTACGCAAAGAGGAAGGTATCCTTCGCCAGGATATGCTTAACCTGCTAATGGAGGCGCGAGAAAAAGATGGTATATCAATCTCCGATTTGGAGATTACCTCGCAATGCTTAGTATTCTTTTTGGCCGGCTTTGAGAGCACCTCTTCGATGATGTGCTTCACGTCTTACGAGTTAGCTGTAAACCCGGACATCCAAGAACGAATCAGAAAAGAGATCGAAACAGTTCATCGAAAATTTGGTAAATTAACGTACGAAGCGATTAAGGAACTCAAATATTTGGATACGGTTTTAAATGGTAAAGAAATTTTTTTTTTCCAATAATACATATTTATTGTCGATCATAACCAGAAACCATACGCAAGTGGCCAGCCGCTTTTCTTTTGGACAGGCTTTGTGTTAAGGAGTACACAATTGAGCCTGAATATCCAGACGAAGTACCCGTACATTTGAAGCCAGGCGATGTGATATGTTTTCCCGTAGCTGGACTCCATCACGATCCCAAATATTTTCCCAATCCAAGCAAATTCGATCCGGAAAGGTTTTCGGATTCTAACAAGGACAGTATTCATCCATACACATTTTTGCCCTTCGGAGTTGGACCTCGCTCTTGCATAGGTTATCGTTTTGCAATGATTAAGGCCAAAATTATGTTCTTCAAACTGCTCAGTACGTTTGAGATCGTGGTCTGTGATAAAACTTCTGTCCCGTTAAAAATCAGCAAAATCGATTTAATGTTGACATCAGCTGATGGCTTTTGGCTAGGCCTTAAACGAAGAATATAAGCAAAATAATATCGTCTTTGATTTATATGATATTTTAGAACTTCAATTTCTTTCAGAAATGTTAAATTAGCCTCAGGCTCGTGTGCTTTTTTTACGTCTAAATCCCAACCATAATCCATTCCGATATTATTTCGATTTATTTTAAAAGAATAACAATGACAACAGATTTTTCTAGTATGGCATCTGACTTAAAATTGATAAGAATCTGAACAAAAAGCAATTGGATTTATAAAATAGCAAACCAATGCAATATTGTAAACTATTTTCCGACGTTCTGTTTTGTCACTGTTGTAGTTTGTCGTGGAACCGAATGAAATCTATTTGGGATCAAATACGTTCGGGTTCGTGTATTAAATTATATTTCGTTGGATGCCGTATATAGACAACCAAACTAACCATATCACATGTTTTAAGTGTAAATCTACACTCATACAGTTACACCAAAGCGTAAATGAAAAAGCGAGGTGTAAACAAATCTTTAGAATAGATGATTATCTTTGGTAATAATTATAATAAGTCATGAAATGATGTAATTCATAATATTAGTCGTTTTGTCATGATACATTGTTACTTAATGTTTGTCAATCTGATAGTATGGTCACTAAAAACCTCATGCACGATATATTTATATTTGCATTATGCTAGAATATAATATAATTATTTTCAAACTGAAATCATGATTTAAAATAAATATTTACGTAGCTCAGTTATAAAAATTGAATAAAACTTTTTTTCACGTATCAAAACGTTTGGAAATCATTATTCTAATGCATGTGTCGGCAACTGAGCCCAACTTAGTCCCACGATAGTAATTTTTACTAGTGAAATTTTCAGCAAGCTTTCGTGAAGCGGGAGCCGAAATTTCTCATGGAAAGATCCGCGTACGGCTCCGGCGCCGACCACTATTCTAATGTGTACAAAGACTTAATGTCACTTAATTCTTTGTAGTTTTTTTCTTTACCATTAATATTCAAAAAAAAAACATTATTATAACAACGATATAAAAAAATAAACATTTTCATATAATTGTAGTAATCAACAAAACAAATCAAGTACTACAAAGGGTTATTGACCATAGGTCTTTCTGTCCCTAAATGTATAATTATTATTCGTTTAAGTAAAGACACTGTTTTTTTGAGATATAAAATGATGTTCGAAAATGTAAATTAAAATTAAAAAATATTTCAAAAAACTAAATTTTGTTATGAAACACTGCAATAAAACATTTTAAGATTAATATCTGCAATATTGATCATGACCTACATATAAGAGTCAGTTTTTTAATTATTTTAGAAACTTAAAAATATATATATATGAAAGTAGGTAAAAAGATTTCGATCTTCTGTAAATAAATAAATAGATATAAAAGAAAAATGATATATTAATATATAATCAACAATAATGTTATTTGTGTATATTTTTTGCAAGATAATTAAAAAAAAAACGTAACCAGTAAAATAATGTGATGTGATACTGACAAAAAATATATAATTGGTGAATGAAAAATATTATTGTGCAATTAATAGAACCTATTAAATTTTGAATACTGCAATTAATCAAGATGATATTGCACAAATTGTTTAATGATATAGTGATTTTTTTTTATACAATGTTCTATTTGAAACAGGTTCTATGCGCAAATAAACTGATCAACGTGCATAATTTATGGATTTTTCAAATAATTGGACTTACATTACTCGACTATTCAAAACAGAAACTGTTATAACGTTATGAAGATATTTTCTGTAACAATACAAAATGTAAATAGGTCGTGATCGATGAAAGTAGAGAAAATGTTATTCCTACAGATTGCGACCGTTAATTCTTCAGATTAATCATTAGTTACAATATTTTCCTGAAAGCTCTTCCAATTAGCTAAAATTATCATTAAAGCTCTTTACAGTCTTCTTTGTATGGTCTTTTAAAAAAATTATTAACTTGCGCAAATTTGTATTGCTGTGTAAAATTAAGTAAATGCTATCATACCCGTTCTTCCAAATTATAAAATCATACCTAACGGATAAAGATGCAAAATTAATATTCCAACTTATTTCCAATTAGATCCGGGGCACCACAAGGAAACGTACTCGGACCTCTTCTATATCTCATCTTCATATCAGATCTCTCGACAACAAATAAAATAACTGTCGCTACATTCGCAGATAACATTGCACTAATGTCTTCTGACAGTAAACCAGAAGTTGCATCACAAAACTTGCAAAGTGGATTAAATCAAATAGAACACTGGCTAAAATAATGGCGAATTGAAGTCAATTGAAGTTGTCCTCCAGAACTCTAATTAACAAAGTTTTACCACAGGAGGATCATGTAAAATACTTTGGCATGCATCTGGATAGAATACTCACTTGGAAGAAACATATATGGACAAAGAGAAAATAACTAGGTCTGAAATTCAGCAAACTATATTGGCTGCTTGGAAGAAAATTAGTGTCATCGCTTGACAATAAATTATTGATTTACACATATACTCAAAGAAGTATTGTCATATGGTATATATTTGTGATGTTCAGTAATCAATTCTAACATCTAAATACTCCAGCGATTCCAATCAAAACCATTGCGCATAATCACCGAACACCCTAGTATGTCCCCTATAGTGTCATACATAGTGATTTGAAAATGGAAAGGATTAAATGTGTAATTACAAACTATAGTGAAAAGTACCAATTAAGATTCTATTTACACCCAAATAAACCTGCTAGGAAATCCAACACAAACATACAATTAAATGACATTATATTAATTTACACAGACAGATACTGTTGAGTACCCCACCATTATTATATTTGTACCGCTAAAAATATTGCTTAATGAAAGATTGTAAATAAAAGTAGATGTTATAAAAAAAATTGTATTGTTTATGAACATGCAAATTTAATTACAATATAATTAGCTATATAAAAATATATAAAACGGAGTGAACTTAATTTCATTAAATTCATTATACAATCGAACGTGCAACATGCTGATCATTCTCTTGCTCATAATTGCACTCCTTCTTGTCAGCTGGGCTCTAGTGAGGCAACAACTTTACTGGAAATACAAGAATATTGTCCAAGGATTTCCAAAACCAGTTTTCGGTGACACCATTGGTACATATTTACAACTTCAATCTCTTACGGATATGGTCAAGAATATATACTTTTCCTACCCAAAAAATAGGTAAGTTACTGAACTTTGTAATTATATTATTCTTTTATTAGTTATTTCTTGATAAAGTGAAAATTTTATTTCTAATATATATCTAATTCTGAGCTTGGATTTGGTTGTGAATTCATAGTTTAAAACTTTCTTTTGAGTAACGATAATATAAATGCGGTTTCAAAGACTCTATTCGCCACCCGAATTGTTCGTTAACCGAACATAGACTTAGAAATGCCATAAGCTTATTACCACTTGGCCTAGGTGTCAAAAATAACAATAATTGGTTGGTTAGATCGGTGGTCCCAACCCCCGGTCCGTGGATTAAATGATACCGAGCCTCCCAAGGAATATTACATTATTTTCATTTTATTTTAACTCACTAGAATCTAGTGAGTTAAATGTTAAATCACTTTATATTATTTTTTGGTGTTACTATATCAACGTAACCTAGGCCGCGTTAGAATTATTAAACGTTGACCGGTCCGTGGCGATAAAAATGTTGGGGAGCACTAGATGATCGTTGTTCGATCGAGTTTGTTGTCGAAATATTATAATCTTATTATCATTTTATCAACAATAAATATGTTAAATAATTAGAAACTCATTATCTAAATTTGAATATTTTTTTAGGTACGTGGGATTTTACCAGATGTCTAAACCCATGCTCATGATTCGAGATCCCGAACTCATCAAACAATTAGCAATAAAAGATTTTGAATATTTCTCAAATCACATCAACTACGTTCCCGGTGACAGTGATTTATTTTGGAGCAATAATCTGTTTGCATTGAAAGGTTCCAAATGGTCCCACATGAGAAACATTCTAACACCTGCATTCACCAGCATGAAGATTCAAAACATGTTCGAACTGATAGATAAACTATCCACGCAATTTATAAACTTTTATGAAAGGAAGATTTCAGAAGAGCAAACTATCGAATTGAAAGACGCTTACACAAGGTACGCTAATGACGTGTTAGCAATAAGCGTGTTCGGAGTGAAATGCGACTCATTGGTACACCCGACCAACGAATTCTATATGATGAGCAAAGATCTTACAAACATTATGAGCTTTTCGAGACTTTCCAAGATATTCCTACATTTTCTTCTCCCGACATTGGCTAAGGCAAGAATATCCACCATCTCTTGTGATTACACGTAAAAGTGATATTTTCTAGGCGCTGAAATTTATAATAATTCCAGAAAAGGTCAGCGCATTCTTCCTGCAATTAATTAGCGACATTTTAAGGGTACGTAAACACGAAGGTATCCTTCGTCACGACATGCTTAATACGCTGATGAAGGCGCGAGAAAAAGATGGCATATCAATTTCCGATATTGAAATCACCTCAAATTTCTTGATATTCTTTTCGGCCGGTATCGTAAACACAACCTCCCTGATGTGTTTCGCCTCTTACGAGTTAGCCCTAAACCCGGAAATCCAACAACGAGTCAAACAAGAGATCGAAACAGTTCATCAAAAATTTGGTAAATTAACATATGAAGCGGTTATGGAACTCAAGTATTTGGATATGGTTTTGAAAGGTAATGATAAAAATATATTTCCAATAACATCTCATAATACTTGATTATAACCAGAAACCATCCGCAAGTGGCCACCAGGTTTCTTTTTAGACAGGCGTTGCGTTAAAGAGTACACCATCGAGCCTCAATTTCCAGACGAAGTAGCCGTACATTTGAAGCCAGATGACGTGATATGTTTTCCCGCATCTGGACTTCATTATGATCCCAAGTACTTTCCCAATCCAACCAAATTCGATCCGGAAAGATTTTCGGATTCTAACAAATACAGTATTCATCCATACACTTATTTGCCTTTCGGAGTTGGACCTCGCTCTTGCATAGCTTATCGTTTTGCAATGATGACGACCAAAATTATGTTTTTTAAACTAATCAGTACGTTCGAGATCGTGGTCAGTGAAAAAACGTGTGTTCCGTTAAAAATTAGCAAATTCGATTTAATGATGACGTCAGCCGACGGTTTTTGGCTAGGTCTTAAACGAAGAAAAATATAAAAATACATTATGGACTTTTAGAACTTAAATTGTTCGGATTGCATAAAGATTGGTGTTGGTATCAGAGAGTTAAACCGAATCGATAACCGTAAACCAAAATTAAACGGATTTTTTAACAGAACCGTAGCTGTAATGTAAAATTTTTCAATTGAAAAAAGGGAACGAAATTTTAATTTCGGTTAATTTCGGTTCAATTTTTTTCTTCATTAAATGTATGCTCTTTGATGTTGTGTACCGGTTCTAGTGGTTTGGTTTATAAAAAAATCGGCATTGTGTTGGTTGGTCTATTGTTAATAGAGTATATAAACAAACAATGTACTTATAGATTTTATTCCTGAAGATTGTAATAAGATGTATACTTCCACTAATTGTTGAGATTGATTGTTGGTTAAAGAATTTGTCTGGTGTATTCCGAGAGCTGAAAAGTAAGTTATTACGCAAATAAATGCCGAGATTTAAAGCCAGTTAAGCGTGATTGCAAATCAATTTGCGGTATTATCTATAAAAGTTCATTATAAAATCAAACGTACGAAATACTGGTCGTTTTTTTGCTTGTAATTGCGTTGCTTCTTATCGGTTGGGCTCTGGTGAGCCAACAACTTTACTGGAAATATAAAAATGTTGTGCAAGGATTCCCAAAACCAATTTTGGGTGACACCATTGGTACATTCTTCCAGCTTCAATCGCTTACAGATATAGTTAAGAATTTATACTTTTCCTATCCAAAACATAGGTAAGATACAAACATTTGTAATTACATTTTTGATTGCCGGTTTCTTCATCAATAATTATTATGAAAATTAATAGAAATTTAAATGGTTAAACTTAAACTGAATATATTTAAGGTACGTAGGATTTTACCAGATGACTAATCCGATGCTCATGATTCGAGATCCAGAACTCATCAAGCAATTAGCAATAAAAGACTTCGAGCATTTCTCAAATCACATCAACTACGTACCAGGAGACAGTGATCAATTTTTTTACAATAATCTCTTCGCATTGAAAGAAACCAAATGGTCCCATATGAGAACATTTTATCACCGGCTTTTTCCGGTCTGAAGATTCGACATATGTTCAAACTAATAGACAAAGTCTCCACGCAATTTGTCACTTTTTATGAAAGGAAGATTTCAGAAAAACAATTCATCAAATTGAAAGGCGCTTACACAAAGTACGCTATTGATGTATTGGCAATATGCGTCTTCGGAGTGAAGTGTGACTCATTGGATTACCCGACCAACGAATTCTATATGATGATCAAAAATGTTACAAAAATTAGCTTCTCGGGAATTTCCAAAATGTTCCTCCATTTTCTTCTGCCGACATTAGCTAAGGTAATATCCTTAGTCAATTATGATTATAAGTAAAATTAAAATTTGTTAGGCTGTGAATTTCGAGATAATCCCAAAAAAGGTCAGCGCGTTTATCTTACGTTTAGTTGGTGATACTCTAAGAGTACGTAAACAGGAAGGTACCCTTTACTACAACATGCTTAACACACTGATGATTGAACGAGAAAAAGTTGGTTTATAAATTTCCGATATTGAAATTACCTCGAATTTCTTGGTATTCTTTTCGGCCGGCATCGCGAACACCACCACTATGAGAAGCACATTATCTCTTACGAGTTAGCCGTAAACCCGGACATCCAAGAACGAGTCAGAAAAGAGATCGAAGAGGTGCATCGAAAATTTGGTAAATTCACATATGAGTCGGTTATGGAACTCAAGTACTTTGATATGGTTTTGAAAGGTAATTATAAAAATCTATTTTCAATAATATGACATAATTCTTGAGCATAACCAGAAACCATCCGCAAGTGGCCACCAGGTTTCCTCTTAGACAGGCATTGCGTTAAAGAGTACACCATTGAGCCTCAATTTCCAGACGAAGTGGCAGTACATTTGAAGCCAGGCGATGTGATATGTTTTCCTGCAGCTGGACTCCATAATGTTCCCAAGTATTTTCCCAATCCAAGCAAATTCAATCCGGAACGATTTTCGGATTCTAACAAATACAGTATTCATCCATGCACTTATTTGCCTTTCGGAATTGGACCTCGTTCTTGTATAGCTTATCGTTTTGCCATGATGATAGTCAAAATTATGTTCTTTAAACTACTCAATAAATTCGAAATCGTAGTCAGTGAAAAAACATCTGTTCCGTTAAAAATCAGCAAAAATAATTTATTGTTAACGTCAACTGATGGCTTTTGGCTAGGTCTGAAACGAAGAAAAATATAAACAAAATAGATATATATATAAGAAATTCATCATTTTTATGGATCTATCAAATCTTTATTATATTAAAACAGCTTAAAAGAGATAATACAAGTCAAAAAAAAGTATGTTTATTATAGTTTCATCGAACGGAAATACTTTATTGGATTTTGATAAAACATATCGTAGATTCATTTCTGAAGAAATTTTTACAAGCCATTGAGGCTTTAATAATAATAGTTGTGAACTGTTTAAATAACAGTGCATTCCACATAATATTTATTTACTGACTAACTTTAGTTATTTATTAATGATATTTTTTTTTTATATTAATGTCTTGTGTATATTAATTAAATTTATTCGGTTGGGCTCGGTGAGTCAACAACTTTACTGGAAATATAAAAATGTTGTGCAAGGATTTCCAAAACCAATTTTGGGTGACACCATTGGTACATTCTTCCAGCTTCAATCGCTTACAGATATGGTTAAGAATTTATACTTTTCTTATCCAAAACATTTTTTTTTATATTAATGTCTTGTCTATATTAATTAAATTTATTTGAGATTTACTTTATACATTTTCTTATTTCGAACGTCTCCTGGATTTAAATCCCAACCAGAAACCACCTTCGGACGTTATTCCGAATTTATGTCTATCTAGTTTCAACGGTACAGTAGTTTCTGCATCGACCTCAATCTTAAAATTGCTGAGAATTTGGATGAAAAGCAGTTTCGTTTCTAGAAGTGCAAAACGAGATCCGATGCAGTTTCTCGGCCCCAAACCGAAAGGAATATAAGTGGATGTTCCGATCCGTCCCTTATTCTCATCGTTGAACCTCTCAGGATCGAATCGTTCAGGATCTGTATAGTAATTAGGATCTCGTTGGATACCGAATATAGGCAACCAAAGAACATCACCTGCATTCAAGTGTAGATCCGATTCTGATTTTTCTAGAGCCGGTATGGTGTAGGGCTTCACGCATACACGATCGACGACGAATGTTGATGGCCATTTTCTCAACGTTTCTAAAAACGAAAGAAAACATTAGATATTTATGCACAAGTACCAACTGCTATTGGTTGACACACTTGACAAAAATGTCTCATGTTATGTGTAGTTTGAGATGTACCTGCTATGACCATATCCAAGTACTTCATGGATTGTAAATCTTCGTATCTCAGATTGCCTTTACAGCTGATAAGTGTTTCATCTATTTCATCGCGAAGTTTATCTTGGACTTCAGGGTTGAGGGCCAATTCGTACGCAAGGAAACTCATAAGCGTGGAAACCGAGTCAAAGCCTGCAAAAAAAAATACCAAAGCTTGGGCTGTGATGTCTTCATGCGACAGTTCCTTTTTCCTTGCCTCCATTAACAAATTAATTAAATCGTTTCTCTTTATTCCATTCACCTCTCGCATTTCAATGTTTTCTTTGACCAAACCTTTGAAGAAATCTCCCACTTTCCTGCTGAATATCGAAAATTTAAATTTCTAAAATTTGAGAAAAAACAATCATATCATATTTACAAATGATATCTAAATAAAAATCGTTGAAGGAAAACAACTTCTGACTTTAAAAACATTGAATAAAAATCACTTACTTTACTTATGTTAGGCACGAGAAAAAAAAAGAAAATCTTAAATTTTCTCGACAATGTGCTGAAATCGGTCGCATCCTTACCCATGGCATAGAACTCGTTCTCTGGCTGCTTCAGTGAATCGCATTTAACACCAAACGCGCAACTGGCTATAACGTCGTTCGCAAACCTCGTGAATGCGTCGCTTACTTCCAGCACAACATCCGACCTCTCTAAGAAATGAGCGACGAACTGATCTGAACAGGCTTTCATCAAATCAAACATCAATCGCATTTTGCTGCCTGTGAAAACTGGACTCAAGATTGCACGCATCTCCTTCCACTTTTCACCTGAAACCAAACCAACATTAAAGTATTCTTAAAAATTGACAACAACAACCTCTAAGCGAGAATAGATTCTTATTCCATAAAGGATCGGCCTGGTCGCTGAAGAACGTTCGATGATCGGTGAAGTGATCGAAGTCTTTGATGGCAATGCGAGTGATCAACTCTGGATCTCTTATCATCAACGTAGGAAAAGACATGCGGTAAATTCCTGTATATCTGATAAAAGTGATTATTTACGTAAAATTCCAAATTGATAAGCAAACAAACCTGGCAGATGGAAACTCGTTGTACTTTCTTTGAACCATCTCCACAAATGACTCTTGCTTTAGGAACGTCTTCCAGCTATCCCCGAATATGGGAATTGCTGTACCTTGCGTCACATTCCTCTGGCGCCAAAGAGTCTGCCTTTTCATAAGTTTCCAAAAAATAAAAACTAAAAGAACGCAAGAAATCAACACAAACAACATTTTACAGTTAGTTTGTGCACTTTCTTATAGCGGTTATGATAACACAATGAATAACATTTAACATTACATACTCCAGTTAAACAACTATCTCAATGTGATAACATATTCATTTACTGCGATAATGTTACTGTTGAAATCAGTACATGTAATTATGAAACGTTTTAATATAATTATAATGACAAAGTAAGAAATACATGCACTATAATTATATTATTAAATAAAAATTGTAATTAAGTAAGTAAACAAAAAATGTATTTAAGTATATTTGATATATTAGCAATATTTTTCTTATTGTTGCTATTTATGTAAGCTAGGCTACCCAATGTACATATACAAAGCAATGTTTTTTAAAACATATCTTATTTTATCTACTGGAAAAACAAAAAGTGTTCATAATGTAATGACACATATACGAGTCCCTATACTGGAATAATAAAGAAAAAATCATTTTGAATAAATGTATCAAAAAAATATTTTATTGAATTCGGAGACCAAGTTTCTCCTCATATAGAAGACAAACGCACTGAAACTTGCTGAAAGTTTTGTAAAATAACTATTGTCTTGGTTTTAGTCCTAACCAGTAGCCTCCATCCGAGGTTAAATTGAATTGTTTCTTACTGATCCTTACAGGGATTACAGTCTTTGATGTAACGGTGATCTCGAATTTTGATAGGATATGAAAGAATACGGTTTTGGTTTCCATAAGGGCGAAGCGAGAACCGATGCAGTTCCTTGGACCAATCCCAAACGGTAAATATGTGCTTGAATTGATGTTGTGTTTATTCTCTTCACTGAATCGTTCAGGGTCGAATTTGTCTGGGTTCGGGTAATATTTAGGGTCATAATGGATACCAACGGTGGGCACCCACAGAACATCACCCATCTTAATATGAACAGGGCTTTCAGATTCTTTAACTGCAGATATTGTGTATGGTTTAACACAAACACGTTCAATTGCAATGGGCGAAGGCCACTTTCTCAACGTTTCAGAAATTACCATATCCATGTACTTCATAGTAGACAACTGCTCGTAGGTCAATTTTCCGTCGCATTCTGCATTTGTTTCATCAATCTCGTTTATAAGTTTTGTTTGAATGTCAGGATTAACTGCAAGTTCGTATGCCATGAAACACATCAAAGTGGATACAGTTTCGAAACCGGCGAAGAAGAAAATCAAGGCCTGAGCTGTAATATCGATATCGGTAATCTCCTGCTTTTTCACTTTCATCTTTCCAATATCTGATTCTTCGACAGTAGCAAAACCAATATCTTTGAAATTCGTTTCCTCTTCGTACTTCAATCTGCCTTTCCTCGCCTCCATAAGCAAATTGATCATGTCAGGTCTTATAATCCCATTTTTTTCTCTCACCTTGATAGTTTTCTTCACAAGATTCTTAAAGAACCTACTGACATGTTCGTTGAACAAAGCTACATTGAGCAACTGAAATCATTTTGATTAACATGTTTATTGAAATTAGGTTTTCATTATACCTTAGCAATTTTTGGTAACAGTATGAATAAGAATAACTTTAAATTCATAGTTAAGCTGCTGAAGTCGGTTGCTTCTCTACCCATCAAGTAGAATTCGTTCATCGGCTCTTTCAACGAATCGCATGTTACTCCAAAAGCGCACGTAGCTATAACGTCATTCGAGTAACGCGTGAAGATATCCTTCATCTCCACCGTAACTTCACCATTTTTGCTTGCTTCCAAGTGGAAATCTACGAAGTTATTGGCGCAATCTTTGATCAGAGTGAACATTGCGCGCATTTTGCTGCTCGTGAAAGCCGGACTGAGTGTTGCCCTCATATCACGCCATATTTCACCTACAAAACCAAACAATTATATTTCAAAAATATACAACTGAAAATAACTAACTAAAAAATAATCAAACCCATTCTCTTAGAAGCTTATATATTTAAAAATAAGATTATTAAATTGAAAACACTTGTAAATCTCTTTACACATCATTCTAGTCAAACCATTCTGCTTAGTTAGACCAAGAAATAGTCTAGAAATTACTGAATGATCTGCTCTTAAATCAATCACCAAAATAAATCAACAATAATGTGCATTTTAGAAATTTATTGTATAACTCAATATTGAGAAATCTAGAGAACAAATATTTGTTTTAAATAATAAATCACATTGTATTAACTTATATATAAACCTCGATTAACAAGTACCTGGCATAACGAGCATTTCGCTTAACGAGCAAAATGAATTTTAAGAAAAATGACTCGCTTAACAAGCGAGTGATGATGAGAAAAGAATTCCGGAAATTTTGCAACGGATTAAACTCGTTAATCGAGGTGTACTTAATTCATATAATTTTTTAATTTAAAATCTTCATTCCATAAATAATTGAAGAATTAATTCAGTCTTTCATGTTATATTAATATTGTTTACTTAAGAAGTTGAGATGATGAATTTTATCTCATTAATATTTATGCAAATTATACGTGACTCGCATTTTTTTTGCAGTATTAATAACTTCATTTTTATTAATAAAAACAAAAACAAGCAAGTAACAAATTGTAATACCACACTTTTAGTCTTCTAGGAACAAATAGAAATATCTAATAAACTGAATCAGTTTGTTCAACGGATGTTAAACAACATCAAATTTTAAATTGTAAATAAATGTAAATAAATTTTGCATACCTTTGAGAGCGAATAAGTTTTTATTCCACAAAGGATCGGATTTCTCGGGAACAAAGCTACTGTGATCCATGAAATAGTCGAAATCTTTGACGGTGATCTGCTTGATGAGGTCAGGATCTCGCACTATCAGTGTTGGAACTGTCATCTGGTACATTCCTGTGTATCTATTGGACAGAAAAATATGTAACGGAGTTAATAGAACAATAATTTCAATTAAATACCTCTCATTTGGGAAACGCATGTAAGCTCTTTTGATCATGTCCATGAAGGTTTCCCTTCTAAAAAGAGTCTTCGAATTATCTCCGAAAATAGGAAACGGCGGCCCTTGCGTGACATTCCTCTCCTTCCAATAGAGTTGAGGTTTTATAAAGAAATAGTAAATCAAGATTACCGATGATCCCAATATCAGGAAAAGAGTAATCATCGGAGGAAATACAGCGTTAAGTCTCTTTGTGATCTCAGCTGCAACACTAATAAGTTTTCAATTCTAATTGCCGTGTTTTGTTTTAAACGAAATCTAGGTAGGAGGGATCAGATATGCGTATTGATACTTATTTCAGAATATCACGAGCATCAACTTTGTTTCTGTATTCAATTGTCTCTTGCAATTACTTCCACTTAACATTACATTTGCTGTCTTTCTTTTCAATGTTTTTATTAATTGTTTAAATTGGGATTCAAGTGAGCATTACATTACATGCCGCTGTTAGCATCAGCATTGATATATGCAGTCCAGCAACCAGAATGACGTAACTCCAATATGCGTTCATTTGTTTTTAAACGGCAATAAAAACAAATGTCACGCAAATGAAAGAAAATAAACATTGATTATTGATACACTTATTTATATTTAATATTGGTTGACAACAAAAACATGAAACAAAGTAGATACAAGTCATATTTTTATAATAATCAAATATTATCATTTATTATCTACGCTTTTTTGTTATTGACTCACAGCGATAACTATGTTTGTACAAATTCAACACATGTAATTGATAATGATTTGGTAAACCTTGAAAATTCAGAAACGTAAATAGTAATTTTCTTGCGTTCATCCGATCATTAAAAATACCATTGACCGTTAATGGTTCTTTAATTTTCATGAATGTATTTTATTAATAATTAACCTAAACTCAAGTTCACTTGATCTTCGTTTGCTTTAAAAATATATTTAGTTACTGTTTTTGTTTCATGATGCAATAATGTAAAATACGTAATTTAACGATTACAAATATAATACATTGATTATGACCAAACGAAAAGGACGGAATCTACTCCATGTGATCCACTAGAAGAAAAAATATATAAGTAGTAGATGTAGTGGTCAATAATGTAGTCATTACTTAACCTCGCATAGTCAGATTTCGATCAGTGTGTATTCACTATAGTCTGGTTTGAACAAATTTATTTTAGTTTACATAAATCGTTTGTTTACACTTTATGCAATTAGTTCTTCAATTAGTCCGGGATGTACTTGCAAAAATACAAATAGTTTACATAGTGGAATCTATCTTACAAACTACTTGTACGCAGTGTTTACTTTCTTTTAATTATACTTTTATATTGTTAGTGAACATGCTATACCAACAACGTTTTTTAATCCAATTAGTTATTTGAATAGAAGTAATATGTATTTAAAGCTATCACTATTAACATAAAATCCTATGTATACAATTTTATACATTATGTGATATTTGTTGACACGGTTAACAAAATTTCAATTTGTAAAATAACTATTTTCTTGGTTTTAGTCCCAGCCAGTAACCTCCATCCGAGGTAAGATTAAATTGTTTCTTACTGATCCGTACAGGAATTACAGTCTTTGATGTAACGGTGATCTCAAATTTGGAAAGGATATGAAAGAATACGGTTTTGGTTTCCATTAGGGCGAAGCGTGAACCGATGCAGTTCCTTGGACCAATCCCGAACGGTAAATACGTATTTGAATTGATGTTGTGTTTATTCTCCTCACTAAACCGTTCTGGATCAAATATGTCTGGGTTCGGGTAATATTTAGGGTCATAATGGATACCAACGATGGGCACCCACAGAACGTCGTCAACCTTAATATGCAAAGGGCTTTCAGATTCTTTAACTGCAGGTATTGTGTATGGTTTAACACATACACGATCAGTTGCAATGGCAGAAGGCCACTTCCTTAACGTTTCAGAAATTACCATGTCCATGTACTTCATAGTAGACAACTTCTCGTATGTCAATTTTCCATCGCATTCGGCGTAGGTCTCATCAACTTCTTTCATAAGTTTTGATTGGATGTCAGGGTTGACTGCAAGTTCGTATGCCATGAAACACATCAAAGTAGATACAGTTTCGAATCCGGCGAAGAAAAAAATCAACGCTTGAGCTGTAATATCGTCATCGGTGATTTCATGCTTTTTTACTTTCATCTTTCCAATATCTGATTCTTCAACAGTAGCAAAACCGGTTTCATTAAAATTCGTTTCCTCCTCATGCTTCAATCTGCCTTTCCTCGCCTCCATCATCAAATTGATCATATCCGGTCTTATAATCCCATTATCTTCTCTCATCTTGATAGTTTCCTTCACAAGATTTTTGAAGAACCTATTAACATGTTCTTTGAACAAAGCGATATTGAGAACCTGAAATTAGTTTGAATAATACCTGCATTACAATTAAGATCTCTTTATACCTTGGCGATTTTTGGTAGTAGTATGAACAGTAGGACTTTTAGACTCTTAATTAAAGTCGTGAAGTCGGACGCCTCTCTAGCCATAACGTAGAATTCGTTCTTCGGCTCCTTCAGCGAATCGCATGTTACTCCAAAGGCACACGTTGCTATAACGTCGTTTGAGTAACGCGTGAAGATATCCTTCATCTCCATCGTAATTTCACCGTTATTGCTTGCTTCCAAGTGGAAATTTACGAACTTTTTGGCGCAATCGTTGATCAGGTTGAACATTGCTCGCATTTTACTGCTTGTGAAAGCCGGACTCAGCGTTGCCCTCATATCACGCCATATTTCACCTAAAATACAAAATAAAAAAATGTGAAATTTAAATCATCATAATAATATATTATACGTGACTCACATTTTTTCAATATTATAAACTAGAACTTTATTTAAAAGATAATAATTTTTATACATGTAGGAATAAATACAAAATTTTACTCCAACAAAATCAAATAATTTGATGCTAAACATATTATAAAACTATATATAACTTTTGTTCATGTAATTGTAACATACATACAGCCAAATATTAAAAACTAACCAAATGCAAGTGTACAATTCGGTTTAAGTCTGGTATTAAATTTTAAACTTAGTGCATTTAAGTGTTAATAATCATATTATGTTTAAGTTTTATTTTTAATCACCTTCATGGAAAAAGCTTGAAAAATTAAAAAAAATCGCTTACTTATTAGAATAAAACAAACAAAAGTTTAAAGATGTTTATACTGTTTTTAGAACATTTAGTTAGGTAATACAGTACATGCTTATACAAGTAACTCCAAGTGAAAGCACTATATAATACAAATTCTGAAGTGTTTCTTTAGTATTTGAAGTTTTTTTGAAGATAAAAATCCAAATATGTCAAGACAGTAAAAATGAAGTTATTAGAAAAATAAATAACAATAGGAACACTTTACTAATAAGTTGAACAAGTACTTTATGAGACAGATTTTTTTAAACAACCAAGTATTATTCATATACAGATATTACAGAAGAATTTATTTTTAATAAATGTAGAAAAAGAAAACTTTTATTCAGGTTTGGGCGATGTAGAAGAAAAACGCATTCAAACTACTGCTAATCGGTCAGTTTCGAATGAAATAAAAATAAGTTTCAATCCTAGTAAAGCAGTTTTTGGAAATAACAAATCGGATAAGATATGCTAAAACAGCGATTCTAAATCAGGGGCTACGGAAAGTATTCAGGTGCGAGAAAACATTATTAGACTTTTTATGTTTTGATATCTTTACAAATCAAAATAGTTTCCATAAGTCTAAGTTTATTTTAGCAAATACACATGTCAATCCAAAATTAATTAAAAAAAATATAACTTTCCTTTAGTGTTAAAAGATTATTTAACTGTTTGTTTAGAATAATTTCACTATTACTGTCAAAATAATTAATAATAGTATTTGTTTTTAAAGGTCAAGTACTATCCATAGTGCAACTGTTTTATTAATAAATAACAAAGTTCAAAAATATATTATTTACTGTTTTAAACTAAAAAAAAATAAAAATATTATGTATAAATTATAAACAATATATAATAATAAACATTCTGAATGTTTATATAACATTCGATAAATATTTAAAGTTGTAAATTAACTAATATTATATTTCTATCTTATTAAAATAAATGTAAATAATATTGCATACCTTTGAGAGCGAATAAGTTTTTATTCCACAAAGGATCGGATTTATCGGGAATAAAGCTCCTGTGATCCGTGAAATACTCGAAATCTTTGACAGTGATCTGCTTGATGAGGTCAGGATCACGCAGTATCAGTGTCGGACGCGTCATCTGATACATTCCTGTATATCTTTTGGACAGATAAAAACATAACGATGTTAATAGAATAATAACTGGAAATTCCAATTAAATACCTCTCATTTGGGAAACGCATGTAAGTCCTCTTGACCATGTCCAAGAAGGATTCCTTTCTCAAAAGAGTCCTCGAATTATCTCCGAAGATGGGAACCGGTGATCCTTGCGTGACATTTCTATCCTTCCAATAAAGTTGAGGTTTAATGAAGAAATAGTAAATCAGAATCACCGACGATCCCAATATCAGAAATAAAGTGATCATCATGGAAATACACCGAACGTTAAATATTTATATAACAAATTCACAATTCAACATGTCTCTGCGATCTCAGTTGCAGTAAGTTCGCAATCCGAGTTGGCCTTCGTTTGTTTTAAAGGAGTAGGGATCAGATATGCGTGTTGTTATTTATTTTATAACATTTCGAGCATCAACTTTCTTCCTGATCCCAATTGTCTCCTGCAATTACCCAGTAACTGCAATATACGTTAATTTGATTTTAAACGGCAATGACAACAATCCTAATAAACATGTGCTAATGAAAATAAACAAGTAAAACAAATAATAATAATTAATTATAAATAACAACTTGACTTGTCAACTTGAAACAAGTCAGTTTTTATAATTAAAAAATATTATTATTAATTATACGCTTGTTATAGTTTTTCACAGCGATAAATTGTTTGTACAGATTCATAGATGTAATTGAAATTAATTGAGTAAACCTTGAAAATTTAAAAAAATAAATAGTTTTTTTCACGCGTTCATCGTTCTCTTTTATTTTGACGACCATCATCTGCGAATGTTTAATGAATGTTGTTATTGTTCATGTTAAAATGTAAAATGGGCCTTTATGCGTTCATAACAATATACTGAATTGAACATGACCAAGCAAAACGAATCATTGTTACTTGTATGACAAAAAAAAACGACTTGGTAATTGTAAGAGAAAATACATAATAAATTATATAATTTACTACAAATTTATTATAATTTAAAACTTGTTCATTTGTTTGTAATATATAATAACTTAACTTAAATGCTATAAACAATTATGCATTCCCATGTGTAACTTCCTTCACCACCTTCCACAACAACCTTGTAACATACCATCTAACAAGGTATTTGGTATCATCTTTGGCTACTGGTCAACAGCATCAACAAAAATTATCTACAAACTGAAGTCCATACACCAATATCAATGGATAACTCCATCACAGCAATATGATCGTTATCGTGTGTTGCTCCACACAGGAAAATGGTTGGACCACTGCTATAGTGATGATTTCGGTGATGGTTTTCTTCTCTATGGAGCTGCCTGTTACTGATTCATTAAAGTGCCTTGAATTAGTATATGATATGTGTACGAGGCGACGAGCAGGAGACACATGCAGTATTAAATGCATACTGCAAGCTATTAATATTAACATAAAATATTAATTGTATATATATCTTCTTGCTTTCTAATATATGGTACATTATACATGACATTTGATAAGGTTAATTAATTTTAAAAAAAGTTTCGTAAAATAACTATTGTCTCGGTTTTAATCCCAACCAGTAACCCCCCTCCGCGGTAATATTGAACTGTTTCTTGCTTATCTGAATAGGAACAACCGTCTTTGATGTAACGGTGATCTCGAATTTTGATAGGATATGAAAGAATACGGTTTTTGTTTCCATAAGGGCGAAGCGTGAACCGATGCAGTTCCTTGGACCAATCCCGAACGGTAAATACGTGCTTGATTTGATGTTATGCTTATTTTCTTCACTAAATCGGTCTGGATCGAATGTGTCTGGGTTCGGATAAAGCTCAGGATCATAATGCATACCAATGATAGGCAACCATAAAACATCGCCAATCTTAATATGCACCGGACTTTCGGATTCATTAACTGCAGGTATTGTATATGGTTTAACGCAAACACGATCAACTGCTATTGCCGAAGGCCATTTCCTCAGGGTCTCAGAAATGACCATGTCCATGTACTTCATAGTAGCCAACTTGTCGTAGGTTAATTTTCCGTTGCATTCAGCGTACATCTCATCAACTTCGCTCATAAGTTTTGACTGGATGTCAGGACTGACTGCAAGTTCGTAAGCCATGAAACACATCAAAGTGGATACAGATTCAAATCCGGCGAAGAAGAAAATCAACGCCTGAGCTGTAATATCGGTATCGGTAATCTCCTGCTTCAACACTTGTGTCTTTCCAATATGCGATTCTTCGACAGTAGCAAAACCGCTATCATTGACATTTGTTTCTTCATCGTACTTCAACCTGCCTTTCCTGGCCTCCATCAGCAAATTGATCATATCCGGTCTTACAATCCCATTATCTTCTCTCATCTTTATAGTTTCCTTCACGAGATTCTTGAAGAACTTACTGACATGTTCATTGAAGAAAGCAATTTTGAGCACCTGAAATCAGTTTGAATAACAACTTCATTGTAATTAATTTTTCAATATACCTTGGCAATTTTTGGTAGTAATATGAAAAAGAATATTTTTAAATTCTTAATTATGCTGCTGAAGTCGGACGCCTGTCTACCCATAACGTAGAATTCGTTCTTTGGCTCTTTAAGCGAATCGCATGTTACTCCAAAAGCGCACGTAGCTATAACGTCATTCGCGTAACGCGTGAAGATATCCTTCATTTCTACCGTAATTTCACCATCTTTGCTTGCTTCCAAATGGAAATCTATGAACTTTTTAGCGCAATCGTTGATCAGGGTGAACATTGCGCGCATTTTACTGCTCGTGAAAGCTGGACTTAATGTTGCCCTCATGTCACGCCATTTTTCACCTGCATAAGAAACATATTAACTTACATTTTAAATGTATACAACCAAAATCACAACTAAATCTTCACAACATAATGTACAGCAATTCTAAATATAATATTTAACTGATCAAATAACTTATAAGTTTATTAATTAAACTTAATGTCTCTCAATTTATCTTATCCTTATTTATATATAACACATAGTTACAGTCATTTAAATAATCTAATTTAAATAATATTAGTTTTATTATTCTAAATATATACAAATATTTGGAAAAAATGGTTTATAAGCAAATATTTAAAAATGTTATTAACTATTGTTATAAGACAGCCTTGAAAATTAAAATTATTCAATTTGCAAATTACTTTATAATTTATTTCTTATTAGAATAAATACATAATTTTGCATACCTTTGAGAGCGAATAAGTTTTTATTCCATAGAGGATCGGAATTATCAGGGACAAAGCTCCTGTGATCAGTGAAATACTCGAAATCTTTGACGGTAATCTGCTTGATGAGGTCAGGATCACGCAGTATCAGTGTAGGAACGGTCATCTGATAGATGCCAGTGTATCTATTGGACATATCAGCATAACCAATGGTCATAAAAAAATAACAAAAATTTCCAATTAAATACCTCTCACCTCTCATTTGGGAAACGCATATAAGTCCTCTTGACCATTTCCAAGAATGATTCCTGTCTCAGAATTGTCCTCTTGTTGTCTCCGATGATGGGAACCGGCGGTCCTTGCGTGACATTTCTCTCCTTCCAATAAAGTTGAGGTTTAATTAAGAAATAGTAAATCAAGATCACCGATGATCCCAATATCAGTAAAAGAGTAAACATCGAACGTTAAGTATTCAATTAAGAATGGTACTTGTCTTTGCGAGTTCAGCTGCAATACTAATAAGTTCGCAGTCCGAGTTGCTTTTCATTTGTTTTAAAGGGGACATCTGTAGGAGGGATAAAAGATGCGCGTTGATAATTATTTCACAACATTGCAACTTTCTTCCTGTTTCCAATTGCCTCAGGCAATTACCTCCACTCTTAACGTTACATTTGCAGTCCCTCCGGCAGCCTGAATGACGTATCTCCAATATGCGTTCAATTATTTTTAAATCCTCATGTAAATGATCAACGGAAATAAACATTGTTTAATATTAATGCATTCAATTTAGATTCAATAATGGTTGAAGAGAATTGGTGTAAGTTATTTTTTTATAAAAAAACAATTTGTTATCATTTATTATCTACGTTTCTGTTTTAATGATTCACAGCAATAAATGTGTTTGTACAGATTCAAATATGTAATTGAGACTAATTGAGTAAACCTTGAAAATTGTAAAACGTAAATTGCATTTTTCTCGAGTCCATATGAACATTTACCAATAATAATTCTTTAATTTATCTGGATGAAATGTTATTAGTTAACATTAAATTATATTTAGGTGTGATTATTAAAAATACAAGTAGATTAGCGAATGTTGTTATTATTTTTGTATCAGGTTACAATAATGTAAAATGCGCAATTTAACGAATAAAAATAAAATGAATGATTATCACCAACCGAAACAGATCAATGTTTATTTACGAGGATACAGGACAAAGTTTAATACTTTAATAAAAGACTGTTAATTGGGAGGTAGATGCAGAATTTACATAATTAATTCTTAAATTTACTAGAAAGTTGGAGATATTATATAGGAAATAAAAAATAATTTAGTAGTTCAATAAAATTCATACGTTAATCTTAAATATTACTTTAAAGCTCATTAAAATTATATTAGTTAATTTGAGTGTATAAGTTAATTGTAATTTTAATTTAAATTATTATAATATATTCAATAGTAGTGAAGCACTATTAAATGTAAGCAAATGCATAAATTAATATTCATCTAAAAAACTCAAATTATGCATCGTATTGTCTAGGTTTTAGACCGAGCCAATAGCCATCTTCTGAAGTAAGGTTGAACTGTGTCTTACTCATTCGAACAGGAATAACTGTCTTTGATGTAACCGTGATTTCGAATTTGGAGAGAATCTGGAAGAAAACAGTTTTGGTTTCCATGAGGGCGAAGCGAGAACCGATGCAGTTCCTCGGACCAATCCCAAACGGAAAATATGTGCTTGAATTGATGTTGTGCTTGTTTTCTTCACTATATCTGTCTGGATCAAATGTGTCTGGATTTGAGAAATATTCAGGATCATAATGGATACCAACGATGGGAAACCATACAGCATCGCCGACCACAAGATTCACCGGTCTTTCGGATTCTTTAGCAGCAGGTATTGTGTATGGTTTAACGCAAACACGTTCAGCGGCAATCACCGAAGGCCACTTCCTTAGAGTTTCTGAGATTACCAAGTCCATATACTTCATAGTAGCCAACTTCTCATAGTTCAATTTTCCATCGCATTCTTCATAAGTATCATCAACTTCGGCTATAAGTTTAGCCTGAATGTCAGGATTGACTGCTAGTTCGTAGGCCATGAAACTCATCAATGTTGATGATGTATCAAAACCGGCGAAGAAGAAAATCAACGCCTGAGCTGTAATATCTATATCGGTGATCTCATGCTTCTTCATTTGCATCTTTCCAATATGCGATTCTTCGACAGTAGCGAAACCGGTGTCATTAAAATTCGCTTCCTCGTGCTTCAATCTACCCTTCCTCGCCTCCATCATCAAATTCAGCATATCCGGCCTTACGATCCCATTTTCTTCTCTCAACTTTATAGTTTCTTTTACGAGATTCTTGAAGAAATTGCTAACTTTTTCGTTGAACAAAGTGATATTAATAACCTGAAAGCAATTCGATTAACATATGCGTTACAGTTTCTATTTTGTTAATACCTTGGATATTTTCGGCATTAAAATGTATAGGAAAAATTTTAGATTTTTAATAAAACTGGTGAAGTCAGATGCTTCTCTGCCCATCTCGTAGAATTCGTTTTTCGGTTCCTTCAGCGAGTCGCAAGTTACTCCAAACGCGCACGTGGCTATAACGTCGTTCGAGTAACGCGTGAAGATATCCTTCATCTCCACCGTAATTTCACCATCTTTACTTGCTTCCAAGTGAAAATCTACGAACTTCTTGGAGCAATCGTTGATCAGGGTGAACATTGCGCGCATTTTGCTGCTCGTAAAAGCCGGACTCAATGTTGCCCTCATATCACGCCATTTTTCACCTGTAAAACAAAAATATGTATGGAAATTTTTATTAATTATTTCTCTTGTTATTTTAAACAAATGTTTATTTTATATATTTTAGGAAAATGTTTAGAATCGCTAGTATATACTACTATAATCTTTGTATAATTTTTTTAGATATTGCTATTTTTAGAGAAGTTAAAATCTTCACTACCGACACCCCTCTTCCACCCTCTATAACCTGGTCACCTTCCCAAACATCCTCGAACACATAAGAAAACTCCAAGGCCGACTCGCTTCACGCATAGCCCTTCAAGATCACCCCACCCTCTCACTCTTCAAACCCCCTTTAGGTGCAACATTCTGCAAAGTGCCAAAGGAAAAAATCCCTCACCCCCCTGCCGTGCTGGCGTCCTACGCTAACTCCAACGACCCCACATTAATACAACTTCTCCAAGACTTTAAAAAACACTCCCCCTCAGTGATGTAAAACATTCGTTTATTCGTTTTTTCGAGCAGTGAAGTGATCTGTTTAAGTAGTGCATATATATTTGTGTCCTGTTACTCTGTTTCTAATATTTATTTGTGTTCTTCTATCTCTGTTTATTTTCTTATTATTATTGTTGATGTTTTTTTTTTGTTTTGTAAACCCTATTCACAGAAGGCTGAAAGAGGCTAAAGCCCTTAACAGTCTACAAAATTGAAATTGAGAAGTTAAAATTTGGAAACTCTACCATCAACAAGAATTAATCATTCAAACATTGGATATGTTAGTTGTTCAAATATTAAACTTGTAATAAGTTCAATCAATATTAAACTAATAGCAATTATTACTCAAATCAAGGTAACAATAATGTTTGCATACCTTTAAGAACGAATAAATTTTTATTCCACAACGGATCGCAATCATCGGGAACGAAGCTTCTGCGATCCGTGAAATAATCAAAATCTTTGACGGCTATCTGCTTGATGAGATCAGGATCGCGCAGCATCAGTGTTGGAGTAGTCATCTGGTAGATGCCTGTATACCTATTGGACTAATCTATTCATTCTAATCAATTAGAAATTTTAGTTCAATACCTTTCATTCGGAAAACGTATGTAAAGTCTTTTGATCATTTCAAAAAAAGATTCCTTTCTCATTACAGTTTTTAAGTTATCTCCGATGATAGGAATCGGTGGGCCTTGCGTGACGTTCCTGTCTGACCAATAAAGTTGGGATTTAAGAAATACATAGTAGAACAGGATCACCGCCAATCCAAATATTAGCAGAAGAGTAAACATCGTTAGAAGCGCACCGAATGATAGGAAATTTCAACTGATAGGAAATCGTACACGCTTATTGAGTCGTAACTGGAATACAAATAAATGGTAGTGCCACTGTTTATTCATTTAATCTAAACTTAACTCCTATGTGGTGGGGATTAGATACGTAGTGGGCGTTGTTACGAATTCATAACATTCTTACATAACCCAACACACAGAGCCATTCGGTAACTCTTATTCAAGTCAATTTAAACCGACAATAACAACAATACTCATTACCAAATGATGATAAAAACTACCAAACAGATATTAATAATTTATTTAGATTTAGTACTGAATAATCTGAATAATCAAAACAGACTAATTTTTGAATAATTAGATAATAGATAAATACATTAAAAACATACTTCATTAAAAACGTACGTACGTACATTTAAATAGACGGATTTTTACGCAATTCATCCACACCCATAATTGAGATTAATTGAAAAACCTTGGGAAGCCAAAAATATAAATAGCAATTATACTATTTACATTTTCGGTTCTCCGACCATTCGTGCTCATCCGACCATTTAAATTCATTGAGCGTGCATTTAACCTTGAGGTGATTCAAATAACAACAAACCTTTTGTTTGTTTCATCATTTACCGTTAGGTTTAGGATTTATAAAATATAATTATCTTAGATTGTTACTATATTTAATTCCTAGTATATATGCAGAATACATTACACATTTTCATCTGTTATATAAATTGTTTAAAATTAATAACATGGAAACCCAGCAACTAGAATAAACTAAACAAGTTATTTAAGTTTACGACCATTCAAATATTATTTTATAATTGTAGAATAAGTAATGTTGCATTTAGAGTAGTTTGCTCTAAATTATTTGTGCAAAATCGTCGATTTCGTTCAAATTGTATATTTTACTTCTTTTCATGTCAAAGCCCCAAATTATAATTACTGAAACTGATTTTAGTTTTAAAAAAAATTAAATACATACAATTCTGACTGAAATGTGATGATTGAATGTAAAGATAAGTGTGTACTAAAGATATTGAATTATAAGCATCATTGAACGGTTAAATTACATACGCATAATTGTTTTAAGAAAACCTATTTCCTAGGCTTTAAACCAAGCCACCACCCGCCCTCCGCAAGAATATTAAACTGTTTCTTGTTGATTTGAATAGGAACCACAGTTTCTTTCACAACCGTGATCTCAAATTTGGAGAGTATGTGAAAGAATATAGTTTTCGTTTCCATGAGGGCGAAGCGCGATCCGATGCAGTTCCTTGGACCAATACCGAATGGTAGATACGTGCTTGAGTTGATGTTATGCTTGTTCTCTTCGCTGAATCTGTCCGGATCAAATGTATCTGGATTTGGGTAATATTCAGAATCGTAATGGAGAGCAATGATGGGCAACCATAAAATGTCGCCAACCTTAAGATGTACTGGTTTTTCGGATTCCTTTACCGCAGGTATAGTGTATGGTTTAACGCAGACACGATCAGCTGCAATCGCCGAAGGCCATTTTCTTAGAGTTTCAGAGATGACCATGTCCATGTACTTCATTATAGCCAACTTCTCGTATGTCAGTTTTCCATCGCATTCGGCGTAAGTCTCATCAACTTCGGTGATAAGTTTAGCCTGAATGTCAGGATTGACTGCAAGTTCGTATGCTATGAAAGACATTAATATGGACACTGATTCGAAGCCGGCGAAGAAAAATACCAATGCCTGAGCAGTTATATCTATATCAGTGATCTCATGCTTCGTCGCCTGAGTCTTTCCAATATGCGATTCTTTTACAGTAGCAAAACCAGTTTCGTTGTAATTCGCTTCCTCTTCGTACTTCAACCTGCCCTTCCTCGCTTCCATAAGCAAATTGATCATATCGGGTCTAATAATCCCATTTTCTTCTCTCATTTTGATAGTTTCCTTTACGAGATTCTTGAAGAAATTGGACACATTTTCATTAAACAGAGGGAGTTTGAGCATCTAAAATCAATTCGTTTAATAAATAAAATTTCTGTATCATTTTCAATCTACCTTAGCAATATTTGGTACAAGAATATACATAAATATAACAATATTCTTCATGACGCTGCTGAAGTCGGTTGCTTCTCTACCCATCACGTAGAATTCGTTCTTCGGCTCCTTCAGCGAATCGCATGTTACTCCAAAGGCGCACGTCGCTATAACGTCGTTCGAGTAACGCGTAAAGATATCCTTCATTTCCACTGTAATTTCACCATCTTTGCTAGCTTCCAAATGAAAATCTATGAACTTCTTAGCGCAATCATCGATCAGATTGAACATTGCACGCATTTTGCTGCTAGTGAAAGCCGGGCTCAATGTTGTCCTCATATCACGCCATTTTTCACCTAATTAAACAAAAACTATTATGAATTACTGTTAAATTTAATACAAAATCAGTAAACAACAGTTTTTAGTCTAAAAATATATAAGAATGAATATAAGATTTATTGTGCACAATTTACCTTTTAGAGAATAAATAGCTTAAATATTATAATGTAATTTACCTTTAAGTGAAAATAGGTTTCTGTTCCATAATGGCTCGGATTCGTCCGAGACAAGAGATCTATGATCGGTAAAATATTCGAAATCTTTGACTGTAATCTGCTTGATCAAATCTGGATCACGAAGCACCAGTGTTGGGGTGGTCATCTGATAAATACCTGTATACCTAATTACAAAAAAATGTTGTTGATGCAATACTTCCTGACAATATTAATAAATACCTCTCATTCGGAAAGCGATTGTACGTCCTTTTGATCATATCCACAAACGATTCCTTCCTCAGTGCATTCTTTAAGTTATCACCTGCGATGGGAATCGGTGGTCCTTGCGTAACATGGTTGTGCTTCCAGTAAAGTTGAGGCTTAACTAATAAATAGTAGATCAGGATCACAGCCGATCCCAATATCAACAAAAGTGTCAGCATTTCTGAAATTAATTAAATTAAAAAAATTCAATCAAAGAAAACATATTTTAAAAAAAAGTATATCTTTAACAATTTTAACTTTAAGTAAAAACTAATAGTTAATATGCGTTTCGTTTCTGTATGTTTACATTCGAAATGTATGCTCAATTTAGTTGATTATCTAACCATAAGTGGATTTTGTTATGTAAATAAACATAAAACTAATTTGTTCAACCTTGATGATCTGAAAACGTGAATGGTATTCGATACATGTTCGACTGATCGTTACAACATTCATTGATTATGCATAGTTCAGTATGTTATTATGCATTAACTGTTTTGATTTCCCGAGTTTAAATCAATTAAAATTTAGGATTGTATTGGGTCTTAACATAACATATTTCAACAGAAAATTACAACAAATACATAATATATTAGTGACTCTAATATATTCTCCTTTATTATTCACAACTTCTTCCCAACGAAAAATAAAATTAATAATTAATAGTTGATAGTTGATAGTTATGTCGTGGCCGACCAATTTATTATCATCTATTGTATAACTAATATGTATATTTCTTAGGTCCACCACTTTCCTATTAATTATTACAAAGCATATTTCATGTATCCAACAAATATACTAAGGGATACTTGTTCGTGATTATTTAGAATAACTTGTGGAATATTCCGAAGGACGATAACACATTAAACCATATATATAACAGCCTTCTTCAGCTTCTAAATATTTGGGTAGAATCATAAAACTTAGATAAAGATGGTTGTATATTTCACTCAAAACTGATTTCCTTACCTCCCACACAGCCCATTTTTGAAATAAACACATTTTTGTATAATATAATTTTGTCTTAGCTTGTCTTAGCACTGTCTTCCTATTTACTAACTTGAGAATGAAACTCTTAGTTAATAATCCATGAGATCAGCTATTGTATAGTTGACTTCTCAATAAAAACTCTGATGTGTATATTAAAACTAATTAAGAATATTGCATTTAATATTCATAAACCCCCCTAAGACACCACAACGACATAACTACAAGATAATGCAGTGTCCCGAGATTTCTTAATCCCGGGACATGACAGTTAATCATTTTAAAACCATCGACGAGATGTTCTTTTATTCATAGCATCTTCACCGTACGCGAATATCGCGAACAGAAGGAGGTGTCGAAAGTGTTCACTTTTGTCCATGTCCATTTTTATATTTAAAGGCATGTACAATAAAATAATGGTTGTAACCTAAAAGCAAACACAATTTCATGTAGAGCAAAATAAAACTTTCCAATTACGTATAATCTTTACAAATTATTTTTACTTTTGGCGCGCATTTTTTTAATTTGAAGAAAACGGACAGGACTTTTATAAACAACCAGTACAATTTTCAATTAAAATTATTTACTGTTCAAGATGTTAATCATTATGTATTAGATGAATAGATAATCGGTATCATTTGCCAATTTAGAACAAATATAATCTAATAAAACTATTTGCTAGAGTTAAAGTATTATTATTATTATTGTCATAAAGAATGAGTAATTCATAATAAAATTAGAACATAAATTTATATTTATATTGATTAATCAAAAGTATATAACGATAATAATTATATCACTTTTTACTTTTATTATCTACGCCATTTCTTTCAAACTTCATTACGTGCTTAGAAAAAAAAAATCATTATCGGTCATGCTAATCTCAATCATAGTCTAATCAAAATGTTTATAATTCAACTTGATATACAGTGGAAATTCGCTTAACAAGCACCTCACATTTCTCTTAACGAGCAAAATTAATTGTAAGAAAAATTACTTGCTTAACCGCATAACGAGTGAGGATGAGAAGAGAAGTCCATGTACATAATGGAACAAAACAGAACATGATGGTTTTTAATAGAAAATTAAAAAAAACATTGTTAGCAAAGAATATTAAAACAAATATAGATGAAATTAAAGATGTTTGAATGACATTGAAAAAATGTTTATTTTTTAATGAATATGATCCTGATTTGGGAAAAAGTGTAAAACGATTATTAAATACATTAACTCCTTAAAGGCAATTGATAATGAAAGATAAAAAGCACTCATATTTTAAAAATGTGATTGCACTTTGAATGTAAGTGAATTAATTTTGTTTATGAAGAAACGTATTACCATTCTTTGAATAATACTATGTTTTACCTATGAAAAGGAAGTTTCGCTTAACGAAGTAATATCGCATCATCCTATTCGTTAATCGAAGTATGGCTGTACAATATATACAACGTTCAAAAAAGAAACCATAAATTAAATATGCATCTTAGTCTTAACACGTATTACATTCAAACATTATACACAGTTGAAGGTGATTACGATCTATGGACAAATAACATATTGCCATAAAAAACGTAAATTTAAATAATTGATTTACTGTACTTTATGCTTATTACCGCACAAAATGCAAACGAATATCTCAAAAAAACATCATTATTTACATAAGTTTTTAACACATATCTAAAAAAAAGAGTACTGGTTATTGTATAATTTGTTTTATAAAAATAAACTATGATTGATGAACACTATTGCATACGTTACAAAACATGTATACGTTACAAACATGTATAATAATATTGATAAATATAAACAACTTAAAGTAACTAATAATAAACATTTCGAAACATACTGATTCCATATGATTTTTATTCGCATTAAATCATTTCGCTTTAGTTAAATATTGTTGCGATGAAGCAAACGTTTTATCATGAGTCATCATCAGATGCAGCGCAGAAAAATATATAATGATACAGTTAACTGGATTTATCAATTAAATTTGACCTACCTCGAGAAGATGTGCGCACGTCGCATGGATTGCACTCGTACTGCGGTTTTCGACGGGAACCGCTATAACTAGCATCGGAGAACAGGTTATTGAGTCATATGATGAAATATAACGAAACCAAATTCTTTTTGTTTCATTAATATGAAAATATTATTCTATAAACTATCATCCCAAATATTACCAAAAATCTTATCATTATATTTTGCAAACCAATAATCTATAAGTGTTTTGTTTATGTAACATCTGGAAGGTCAATTATTAATAGATGAAATTAGTCAAGACGCATATTACTGTATTGAATGAAATTCAAATACGCTTAAGACATATAAATAATTAATTTAGCTCCAGGCAGTTACAAATTTTAACCAATAAAATGTCGTGTCCCGTTATGGAATATCTTAGGACATAATAATTTGTAGTTTTGTCGATGTGGAGTCCTAGTGTATTTAATAATATTTATTTAAGACTGCGATGACTGAGTTGTGCAGCATATATTGCTGCTCAAGAGTTACACTAGAACTCATATGTGCCTCGCTAGGGCTAGAACTAACACTAGGCCTAGGATTTGGGAAAGTGACATTAATGGGTAGCAACAACCAATAAAAACATGAAGGATATCTCATCGTTTCACCAAAAAGATTTTATAGTCCTTCGCAGATTTTGCACCGCCCTTTGGAAAATTCCATAACAATGTAATTATTAATACATAGTACATATTGACATAGTTATCAATAATTAATAATACTGTGGTTCTACAAAATATTAATTAATTGAATGCGAAAACACTACTGTACATAGTATTTTAGATGAAATGTGGCTAAGAAATTTTTGTAATAAATATATAACTAATGTAATAGGAAACAAACAAACAAATGTTGTATAAAATAACATGTAAATACAGTGGTACTTCGGAATACGTCTGCATCTTGTTTGGACGCGAAACCCAAACTGTTTGGAATACTACTCTCGTGCGCAATAGGCATAAGCAATGTTCTTCAGACATATTTTTGGTAAACGTCAAATCTGATGATCGTTAAGTTTGTAAGCTACATTTGCAAACCCATAAATGTTTTAATTTTATAGTTAAAAAAAAAAACCTTTACATTAGATTCATACGATAATCTGGTTTAAGTTATTTGATTCATTTTAGGACTTCCACAAATTGTATTCACGTTTACAAAACAATATTTGTACTCAAATCAGTTAATTTCAGTCGACTTTCACTTGAAGAACTCACTTTAACATAACATAAGTTCGATAATATATGATTATGTATGTTTCTCTTTCCAAACTAACGAACAAATATTTGTATATACCAGATTTTTTTTAATGAATCTCGAAATGACAGTTGTCAAATTGAGTAACTGTTGAAATACTCTTAGCTATTGGGTCGCAGTACAACTACAAACAAATATGGACTGCATAGAGAAACTGCTCTAAACATCTTTATTATGTATTTAAGAGTCGTTAATTGTTACAAATTGCTCATGATATAAATTAAATACAAATTAAATATAAAAAATAATTTATAAATGATGACCATTAAAAAAAAATCTATAAGAAAAAATTAAAAAGTGTTCCGACAATAAAATTGTTGTTCGTATGAACCAACAAATCAAGTTAATGCAAGCATTTATTTGGGAATATACCATCCCATTAACATTCATTTGCTGTATATTATCTTACAAATTTTAACTCTCAGAAAATCTATATTTATAATGTGGATAATATTTCGTGGACTAATCTAGTTAAGTGAATATTTAGGTCCGTCATAATTATTAACGAATATCTACTATATTCATTTCTTCTTTTCGAATTATCTTTTTCGGTTTCGATTTTTTCTTTGTTTGAAAAAATAACACGACCGTTTTGAGTTTTTAAATCACAGCGAATTCAGCTTTTGATTTATTCTGTATATAGTAGAATATATAGAAAACTGAAACATTGCTTACTAAAATTTTAATGTTAAACTAATAAGATAAAGCAATCATCATGTTGCAAGAATTACTTATCGTACTCTTAGTAATTCTCGTAAATTTATTCTACTTCGCAATATTACGCCATTCCTACTGGATTAGAAAAAATGTCCGCCAATCGTTGCCTGTGCCCTTCTTAGAGGACAATCTCCGTAAATCATTCGGAATGGAATCGTACTTGGATATGATTAAGAGGCTTTACAACCAATTTCCTGAAGAAAGGTGATAACTCATATAAATATGGTTTGTCGTTAACCAATGTTACTTTTCAGATATTCCGGCTATTATCAGGTAGGATGTCCAATATTGGTAATCCGAGATCCGGAGTTAATAAGGATGGTGACCATCGACGATTTTGATCACTTCTCAGAACACAGGCACCTGTTACCTGAAGGCTTGGATCCCTTATGGAGCAGGAATTTGTTTGCGTTAAAAGGTATACTTTATGAAAACTATTTTTTGCCGATTTGTACACCAATCATCGTGGTGTACATTCTGATTAATTGATGTATACTTTGAATTTTAGGTAATGAATGGATAAAGATGAGAACAATCTTAGTTCATGCATTTTCTTCCGACAAAATGCGAGCTATGTTCTGGTTTGTAAATAACTGTGCAATACAGCTAAGGGATTACATTGCGAAGGAGACGCAAGAAGGTCCGATAGTCCGCGAGGTGCAGGGCATCTTCACGCGTTACACCAATGAAGCAATAGCGTCATGTGCGTTCGGCGTCACGAATAAAGATGTAATTGAAACCGGAATCGATTTGTACAAAGTGGGTATGGCAATTACAGACGTCAGTGATTTATGGAAATCTATAAAATTGTATCTAGTCAATTACATGCCTTCGATCACCAAAGTATGTAAAATAGATATTGCTCTTTGAACAATTATTGACAATTCAATTCCAGTATCTCAATGTAAGAATGTTTAGAAAAGAATCAGCTGCTGACTTCTCGGCCGTAATCGCCAATAACTTGAAGATGCGTGAAGACTTAAATATCGAGCGACCGGATATGATCAATATATTGTTAGAGGCGCGCAAAGGGAATCTGAAATTCAAAACTCAAGAGCATGACTCCGACTTTGCTACGGCTCAAGTATCTGATATCACGAAAGATGTGGAAACAACGACGGAGATTTCAGATGTCGATATCACCGCTCAAGCCTTAATCTTCTTCACCGCCAGCATCGAAACCGTCTCCACTGCGTTGATCTTCATGAGTTACGAATTAGCTATGAATCCGGATGTACAGAAGAGGCTGCAAGATGAAATAGATCAGATGTCACTGAATTCAAGAGGTAAATTAATATACAAATCATTATCCAAGATGAAATACATGGATATGGTTATTTGGGAAACCTTGAGGAAGTGGCCGTCCTATGTTGCCGTGGACCGATCTTGCGTAAAACCATACACTATTCAACCCACCAGACCTAATGAAACTGCCGTTCATCTGGACTTGGGTGATGTTCTCCTTCTACCAATCATAGGCATCCATAGAGATCCCGAATACTTCCCTGAACCAGATAAATTCGACCCGGAGCGATTCAACGATGAGAACATAGACAACATAAAGCTCTTCACTTACAATCCTTTCGGCTACGGTCCAAGAAACTGCATCGGATCCAGCTTCGCTCTTATGGAAATTAAAACAGTTTTCTTCCATCTACTATCAAAGTTCGATATTGAAATAGTGGAACAAACAAAAGTTCCTGTAGAAATCTGCAAGAAAAAGTACAATTTAGCAGCCAAAAACGGAATTCATTTGGGATTTAAAAGAAGACAATTTTAATCTTTATATTAATTGGAGATTTCAACTAAATCTCGTAATCTTATAAATCAAAAGGGTATTTCATATTATATACCTTATTTTAAATTTTTAAATCAATATTATTCAAATTTTAACATACATATTGCCTATGAAACAATAGTATATTTGTATTAATTCAATCATTTGCTTTCATACGGCTTTTCCAAATGTTCTTACAGTTGACGGGCATTTGCCCAAGATAAACTTGTGTATTGTGAAAATATTTTAATTTGTTATTTACTAAAACACATATTTGTAATTTTTTGTCAATATAGAAATTACATATTATCCAAAATTATTGTTCCTAATATTACTTACTCCAACTATTCAGAAACAAATGCTAATTTTCATATAATGCAGAATAAAAATTGATGCAACTAATTTCATATTACGCGGTTTTTATATAAGAATTATTTTAAGAATTATTTCGGGTAAAGATTTCAGAATTTAATGATAATGTTTTAAATGCCTTTGAAGACGAAAATGGGTAATAAAGAAGGGTTTGATACAATTTAAATTGTAATGATGTAATGAAAATGGAATTTGATCTGGCTAAAAAATTTGAAGACGGTACGAATTTATACATACACCGACTTTTTAAAAAAACGATTTTCAAATTTCAACTTTTCTACAAATTAGAGACAAATATTTTTTACAACTTATTTTCTTTCTATTTAAATTTATAGTAAATTAAAAATAGTACAAAACAAAATTTCAGAAAACAAAACTTCAGTAATATATTGATGCTCTGCAATTCCACTATTTCATTTGACTGTGAATCTGCTGCTATCCTTAACACTGTCATTGTCCATCGACATGGCTGAATGAGGTTCAGCATATGGACCTTATGCTGAACCTCATTCATTTGACTGTCCATCTGTGATGAACGATGCCCTATTGCTGCAAGCACCGATAGGGCTCACAAAGGGCCTGGCTTGACCAGGATTCGAACCGGCGCCCATGAATTCGTAGCGACTTAATCATTCGGCTATTTTACTCCATAGAAAACTATATAGATAAACGAATAATAGAGTTATTTATATTAATGATTATAAATATTTTTTTATTTCTTATTTTTTTTTCAGAAAATATGATTTTAAAAAGGAAACAATGTCTAAAAAAATGATTGCTTGACCAAGTCCGTGTTTTAGATACAAAATTTGCAGAAATATACAATACTCTCTCATTTTCATTTCGATCTAAGCTTATATATAACAGATGTTTACCAAATGTGTATGTTTGTATAATTATTTTCGATGACATATATTTTAGTAGACATCTTTCTTCTTTTGCATAAGCAAACAAAAATTAATATTAGTTAAAGAGTCTGGACATCCGCAATTTCGCAATCCGCAATCTCGCAAAAGTTTAAGCTGTTTCCCGATTTATACCAGAGACGATTTTATGTCGAAACATTTGGTTTTAATCAAATAATAATTTAATTTTTATATTTTAAGTCTAGCCTCAAAAACCAGTATTTTAGTTGAAAAAAAAAAAGATTTTGAGTTGTATTTCAAACCCGAGTAAGAATTAACTAATTTTTTTTAATAACTATGAGTTAGTGTTGGTTCATAAATGAATAAAAATTATAACGCAAATATTATTGAAATAATATATAATTAATTAATAAAAAATAATACTATAGATAGTGGAGACTCGACGATAAGCATGATTTTTTTACAAGACATTAAAAACAATTGTAGATTTGATAGATTATATGAGTTATCTGTTCATCAGCGTAGATTACACGCAATTGGATTTGAAAACAATAATATTAGAGAGGGGAGACTAAAAACTAGCGGCTAAAAGAATTCTGATCGGGCAGTTCAGTATTTCAAAGCAGGTTGAACGCAGTTAATGAACGAGGTCA